TGCAACTTTTCCAAATTGATCTAACTCTTTCAGTAATTCTTGACCTGTTTCAATTGGTTCCTCTATGAAAAATACCATATCATCCACAAATGACTGGAGTTTATATTCTTCTTTTTTAATTTTTAGTCCTTTTATTCCTGGGTTCTGTCTAATTCGTGTAAGCAGTGTTTCCAAAGATAATATGAAGAGCAGAGGGGATAATGGACATCTCTGCCTGACTCCTTTCTCTATTTTTATTGAGTGCGTGTACTCTCCATTAATTATAATATTCGCCTTTTGTGAATCATAAATTGTAGTCACGATGTTTTCAAACTTAGTGCCTAGATTCATATTGTAAATTTGTTGAATTAGGAATTGCTAATTTAAATTGTCAAAGGCCTTCTGTGCATCCAAGAATACAAGGGCTATTTGTTTCTCTAGGTGGGCTTCATAGTATTCCAAAACATTTAATACTATCCTTAAATTATTCCTGATTTGTCTATTAGGAAGGAATCCGTTCTGATCTTTAAGTATATATTCATTCAATATTTTTTTCAATCTATTTGCTATAATTGTAGTAAATATTTTATAATCAGTATTTAACAGGAAATTGGTCTATAGTTTTGTAAATGTCGTGAATCTGAATCTTCTTTTGGAATCAATGATATCAATGTCTCCTTCCATGAATCCGGCATTCTTGCTGCTAGTAGGACCTCATTATATACTTCCACCATGAGAGGTCTTATTTGTTCTCCTATTTTTTTATAAAGTTCCTTTGGTATCCCGTCGGGTCCTGAGGTTTTATTGTTCTTTTGGTTTTCTATTGCTGCTTTTAACTTGGGCCACGTAATATCTCTAATTAACAATTCCTTCATCTCCTCCTTAATTATTTTATTTTTAGTAATACCCAAATAGTTTTTTATCATATCCTCATTTACCTCCTTTTTATAAAAATCTTCAATTTACATGCAATTTCTTTTTTCTGTTCTATCCCTTGTTGGGCATCCCCATTCTTATCTATTAATTGGTAGATCAATCTTTTTTGTTTTTCTTTTTTAAGTTTATAGGCCAACCACCTTCCTGGTTTATTGGCCTGTTCAAAAAATATCTGTCTGGCTGTATTTAACTTTGAGACCATTCCTTCTTGTTCGATTAAATTTAATTTATGTTTAGTTATTATCATCTGTTTTTTCAATTTGCAATCGTTTAGGGTGTTTTGCAGCTGAATTTCTAATTCTTTGATTCTTTGTTCTAATTTATTTTGTTGGGCATATTTTTCTTTATTTCTTTTAGCAGTGTATGATATCGTTATGCCTCTTATTACTGCCTTCATTGTATCCCAAATATTCTGTTTCGTAGTTGCCTCATTATTATTTTCTTTTTAAAAATAGTCTAATTCCTCGTCAAGTTTATTCATAAATTCTTTCTCTTTAATTAACTGTGTATTTAAGGTCCACCTTTTCCTTGGTTTCTTCCTGCCTTTCTACACTATCTGAATCGGGTTGTGATCTGCCCATCCGTTTGGTAAGATTTCAATCTCTTTTAATTCATTTACTAATTCACCATTCATCCACACCATATCAATTTGTGTCCATGATTGGTGAGGGTTGGAGTAAAATGTAAATTGCTTTTTCTCAGGGTTTAATTTCCTCCACATGTCTATCAAATTTAGTTCAGTCATCATTTCTTCACATGTTTTTGGTAGTTCTCTTTTTTTCTTCTTTTCTTCTCTTGTATGCAACGATCAAGGCTTTAGGACCGCCATTGCTGATAGTCTCTTGTTGTCGGTCTCCTCAGGGTTTCTCTACGTCACGATGAGAATCGCCTTTTCCACACGATGACTTGAGTCTCCCCACATTGGCACACTTCTCTACAAGATGCGTACACCCCTAAGGGTCACTCCAACAGCAAGAAGAGATAGCATGAAACCCAGAGCGAGCTTCAGCACCTCCATTCGGCCATATCTCGTCACCAGAAGTTCCCTAACATACTTGTCATTAATTTTTCATTAATTTTTATTAATTTTGGGAGACTAGAACCGATTTAGTCAGAGTTAGCAAGGGAAAATAGAGTGTATTTTCATAAATTAAACAGGTTTTTTTTTGTTTTTACCAATCTGCCTTGCCTTTCTATAAATGAAACCAAATAATGAGAGAACCAGCAGATATAATCACTGGTTCCTGAAACAAAATCATTTGGGGATAATTAGATGTATACACCCTTGAAACATGATATGTTCCAAGCTGACTTAAACAACAAGAATTTTCTGGGAAAAAAGGTTGTGGCCTGATCTAGGGTCCCTGAAAGGGAACAAAAACTAGCACAATATTTTAGCTAACGATCAGTTTTAAGTTTTTTTTTAAAAAAAAACAATTTTTCAGTTAGGCTAGACTTTATAGCTTGAAAGAACTTTAAATTATTTTCAGATGAATTTTTCAATTTAATATATATTTTCTAATTTCAAGTTATAGTTACCACATTAATCCAAGACTTCAGAAGTCAGTTGTCAGCAAGACAAAGCAGTTAATTTCAAAGCTTAAATACTAATATTACTAAACCTCAGTAATCCAATCTGAGTCACACTTTAAAGTAATACCTCTTTTCTTATCATTTTCCCCCTCTTTCTCTCCAGATGGCTGTGTTTATTTGTGTCACATTGTCACATTCTTCCTGCACATTGCTTGGGTTAAACAAATTACTACTCTCCCAATCCTTAACTCGCCACAGCTGATCAGTTTTTCTGGACTCAGCTGTAATATAAGCAAAACTATTACAGATAGTCCTCAACATACCACGGTTCAAAGTTACAATGGCACTGAAAAAAGAGACATGACTGTTTTATAACAGTTATGACTGTTGCAGGATCCCAGGGGCATGTGATCACTTTTTGAATCCTGCTAACAAGCAAAGTCAAAAGAGAAACCAAATTCACTTAACCACTATGTTACTAACATAACAGTTGTGGCAAGAAAGGTCGTAAAATGGGACAAAACTCACTCAACAACTGTCTTGCTTAGCAACAGAAATTTTGGGCTCAATTGTGATTGTAAGTCAAGGACTTTCTGTACATACATTCAACCTCTAGAGCACAGGTGTCGAACTTGCGTCGTCACATTGTCACATGACACATTGTGACTTTTTTCCTGTTAGCTAAACCAGGAGTAAGCATGGCCAGCGCTTGACACATCTGGCCTGCAGGCCACAAGTTTGAAACCCCTGCATAGGCTTTAGGCAGTCCTTGCTGTGAAATAATGGAATCATAGTATCCCTTGGACCTAGCTATTAACTAGTATTTAATATTGTTTCAGAATAATTTGATAGAGAAGTTAGCTGCCAAGTCCCTTATTCCTTGATCTTTCTTGAGCCATATTCAATTGCCGCCACCACCACTTAATTCTTGCATAGATAGCATTACAAATACCATATGGGTATCCTCTCATTTAGGCCAAAATTATTTATTCTGATATGAGCTTCTCCTAAAGTTTATTTAGCGTTCTGAGGAAAATAATAAGAATCACGTGGTTTAAAACTGTGGATTGTATTCTGTTTCTTGCAGGCTCTTGTGGTTTCTATTATCTTTTCTATCTTAAGTGACAGTTGAAAAGTGCTCTTGTGAAGGAAAAGCAGTGGAAGAAAACTGTAATTACACACATACTGTCTATGTGAACTAAACTATCACATTTATACTACGCTTGCTTAAGATATTAGAAAAATAGTAAGAGTCATGTAACCAGTTATATTTAGCAATCTAAGGAAAAAACAACTGTAATCACAAGGAAAATTGGAAAAAAAATTCAAGTCTAGCATATGTATTCAGAAACAATTACCACAGCTTATAAATAGGAGATTATTTCCAAATAAATGTACTTTGGATTGGGATCTACTGTTAATTCACACTGTTTCTACTAAAGTAAAGGAATTTTTCCAATACAAAAATTACATTTTAATCCATAGATAAAGCATATTAACTTTTGATGGAAATGACCACTATCAAATATCAGCTTGTAACACTTGCTTTAACTGATAATGGAAACCAACTTAAATGAAGTGTTGAGGATTTTGAAACAGTGTTTATAGAGTGGAAACACAACAATTGAGGCCATTATTAGAATCATTGGTATTTAATTGTCTATATTTACATTAATTTCTACAGGCAGTCTTATGACTTATGATCAGTCTCTAAATGATATTCAAAGTTATGATATATCTTTCCCTAAAGTTACTTATGACCTGTTTTTGAACTTACAACAGTGCTCACACTCTCATGCACACACACATAGTCACATCATTGTATTTGGGGAACTTAGCAACTGCCTCTCTTTTATGACCATTTGCAGTAGCCCATGGTCACTCTACTACAATTTGCAACATTTTTTTGCTGGTGGGATTTACTTCTAGTTTTCCAACAAAAGATACCCATTGGAAAAAGTGGATTTGCTTAACAATCATGATGCTGGCTTAACAACTGCCACAAAAAAAGTTGAATTATTGGGTCTGGCCATGTGATGCCTTAATTTACAACTGCAATGATTTACAGCTGTAATTCTGGCCTTAATTCTGGTCATAAGTTGAGGACTACCTGTGCTAGCATAGTATGTTCTCTCCAAACATGTTAAGAAAGGAAGAAAAATCCAATCATACAACAAAAGCACTTGGCAAGTTAGCCATTCACCAAGCCCTTCTCCAAGCCCTCTACACTTCAGTTGCAATCCTAGTGGAATTGTTGTCTGACCAAGCAAGGGGGGAAGAGCTTCAAAACAGACATGCTGAGCCTTCAACAGCATATAACCTTTCAACACATAATAATGTATGTCCACAGAAGAATATTGATCACTTCACAAAATGAGCCTGCAAAAGGTATGCCTGGGTTTGATATCTGTTTACAAATAGCATGAGACACATATTTCTCACAAACGCATACACATTCTTAAATTTCCAAGCAAGCCTTCATTAATTCTATATAATTTAAGGTGCTTTTATATTTTTGTAATGTGCAGTTAAACAAAATATATTCACTTTACCTTTCAAGGAAACCCAATACTGCTTCCATTTCCTCCTTGTGGCTAACTCCACCTTCTTGTTCTTTTTATGGACAAGGAAGTTTTTCACTGCAAGAGCTCCAGCCTTCCTTACTGTACCCTGCCCAGCTGTAAGAAGAATATCCGACTGTCCTGGGGAACTCAAAGTCCCACTGCTCTGTTCATCACTCAGGGTAGAGCCAGCCTCATCCAAATTGTCATTGGTGCTGCTCAACTCCAACTCTCGTCGAAAGTTCTCATAGACTCCCTGACGGGCCCCATCTCCAGTTGACGAACTGCCACTGTCACTACCAGCAAAGGCTCGGCTGGTTGTTGGTGAGTAGCTGGAGTTTGTGGCATTTGAACGTCTAGAAAGGAGGTCTGTGTCTGTTGTTGCACCCTCAATTCCACTGTCAGCAAATTCACTCCCATCTCCTGTATTAACATCCTATTTAAAAATAAAAAAAAACAATATGAAGAAGTGCTCCAACTCAGTCTAGCTACTAAAAACTTTATTTTTGCAGTTAAATTCTATTCTTTGCTGTCTACATAGAGCAGTTTCATTTAACTTAGCATTTATTATGACCACCTAGTCTAATAGGAACCTTCATTCAGAAATCAGGGAGCATACTTTTTATAGTTCTATGTAATGTAAAATATATTTACCTTATTTGCTAGTTATTTTTTTAAAACTTTTCCTGGAACCTAATAAAAATTTTAATCAAAAATTTATCATATAAAATAGTTTAATACAGTGGTGGGATTCAATTTTTTTTACTATCAGTTCTGTAGCATGGCTTGGTGGACGTAGCAGGGGAAGGATACTATAAAATCTTGCCAGAGGTGGTATTTGCTGGTTCTCTGAACTATTCAAAATTTCCACTACTGGTTCTCCAGAACTGGTCAGAACCTGCTGAATACCACCTCTGGTTTAATACATTTATTGGAAACAAGTGCATTTTAAAAGTTTAACATTTTTAACTGTTGTAGATTCAGAAGGAGAGATTTAACCACTTAACCTTAACTTTTAAGCTATTCATTCAGCATTTTAAATTGATTTGAAATAGTAAGATAAACACAGAAAATGAAAGCTCTTGTAGTTCTTACTGATGCTAAATTTAATGGCTATTTTATTGCTGTTGCTGATGAAACTCACAATCCATAGGTGGCATTACCTAAATAATAGTAATAATCGTGTATTACATTAAAACATTTTATAGACAAATTCATCAAATGTAAATACTCCAAAATCATATTTCATATTTATTTAAATATATTAATGCTTCTTCCTATGTCAGGTAAAATGCTGTAGAAAGGAAAATTATTAAAATAAATTCAATACAACCAAACATTACAAGATTCAAAATTGCTATAAATATGAAATGAAAGAAAGTAAGGAAGAATTTGTAACATACATTAAAGATTTAAGGTCCATAGCCAAGCAGGCATCTAAAATCTAAATGCAGAATATTCTTTAGAATTAATTGTGATTAAGGTTCATCAGTTGGTCTATATATTTAAGCTCACAGCAGCAAAAGAATCTATACTTTCTGGGTAACACAAATGATAACAAGAAAACCATGTCCTTTAGAATGTATATGATAAAATACTGTACAAATAACTTGTTTAGAGATCTTATTTTCCACTGCAGAGATAACTATAAAGGACAATAAAATAAATAATGAGACAGATTTTTTTCAGTCTGGAATTGGCTCAAGTAGACTGAATCTTTCTGCCAGAGGGACTTGATGGTTCATCCCATCAATCACTGCTATTGACAAAGGTTGCCTTCGGGTTCTGGATATCTGATACAGCTTTTATGGTTATATTGCTTAAATAACAGGCCCTCTGGTACAGTAATCTATTTTCGACCTCCTGTACCATACAGCAAATTCAAAAACTATTATAGTTTGCCTTAATTAACCAAACCAATACTCCCACTATACACACACAGACACCAGTACCTAGTGGTTAAGGTCTGGAATAAAGGTTGTAGTTCTCCCTTAGGCGTACAAGCCAGCTGAATGACTTTAAGCCAATTAATCTCCCCCAGTTTTAGCCTGAGAAATAAAAAAGGCTATCTACCAACCTTGATTTGGCCAGAGAGGTAAATTATGGTCTACAATTTTCAATTAAATTTCAGTTAATCATTCTTCATTCTACAATGGGTTTATTTGGAATGATAATAATGATGGTGATTTATACAATACACATGAGTGTATGTATGAATGAACTTCTTAGAATGATTCAGCAGAAAAGTATTCTTTCTCTGCCTTAAATCTCCATCCATGCTAATTTCCCTCTTTAGAAAGCAATCCACAGATATAAACATAAACCAGAAGTGTAGAGTGTTAAACATTTCGTAGGGAACTTTTCACTGAACTTGTTTGTTCTTTATCTCATGAACACAAATCACTAGAATATAAAACTGATTTTAAAACTTTGAAATAAATTTTGGATTGTATTAATATTCAACAACTGTATTACTAATCTTCTTTAAATTAGAAATCATCCTCATAAGAACACAAAAAATTAAGACCTTTTTTTGAGGTGGAGTTGAAATCAACCTCAATATAGGAAGGCGGTCTGATGTCCGATACTTATTTTAGATGCATTATTATATATTAAAGTTCATATATTATATCCCTTCAGTTTGTCATGTGATTATTTTTATCCAAAGTAAATGCATGTAAAAAAGCTGCAGTATACATTTTCATATGGCTAATTTTGCTGGTGAATTATATACTCTTACAATATAACCATAACAATGAGGCGCTTGAGTTCAAAAATATAAGACACAAATTCCCCAGCTAGAGGATCAAAGATAATTTCTTCCCAATATGACTGAATGCTGTGGATAAACCAAGTGCTTGAACTGATCCTTAGGCAGAATTCCATTTGAAGTAGTGAGAAATAAACACATAAATTGCAACCAAGACATTTCTGAATGCCTGTAAAATTGTGAATCGTGTCTGGCTGATTAGGAATATATTCAAGAATAAATACTCCCTTTGCATATCCTGAAAACATTTTGGAAATCTGATATAAACAAAATAACTCAGACCTTTGGGATATCATACAAATGATTCTCACAAAGAGGCACAGAAACAGCAACATGAACTTTCAGGGCAGATTTCCATAAGTAGCAGCCGTTAACTGTGGGACTGTGCTACATTCAGTGAAATTAGAGCAATCAGCTGTTCCCAGACAGTCTCAATGACCTTCAAATAGACTGTTAGGGACTAAGTCTGGAAATGCAAACTGCTGCATTGTCATACTTTTCCATGTATATAAACAGAAACAGGAACTTGGAGAATTGTTTTGTTCATTTCTGGCCACTGAACAGCAAAAATTACAGTTGTATAAAAACCATTTCTCAGTGTCTGGAAACAAATTATTTTAAATTATTGTTCACTGTATTGAACCATAAATAAAGATTGAAATGATAAAAAAGGTTTTTAACAGAGGTAAGTAGGAGGTGGTGAATTTATTTTAATTATTTTGTGGTATCAGGGTCAGAGGATTTCAGTTCTGGGACGGAAAAGTGGCTGGTGATTAGCTATGGATACGCTATCAGCGTTATTTCAATGTTGGGTTTATGTCAGCTTTAGAGCAACACAAACTCTGGAGCTCAGGCCAAACTGTCAAAATTGATTAAAAATGAGAATCTTTCTGAAGATTATATATTTCTTATGGTTGATTATAAGGAAAAAATGGGTCAACTTTGTAAATAATTAATATATGACTCTATCATGAAGCAACCTTTACTTGGATGATTTAAACATTTCAGGTTAAACAAAGTATAAACTTAACATTTCTCTTTTTATTTTGATAGTGTTTCAGATGTTATTTTTTCCCATTTTTCTAATAATCCAGAATATTAAGTAGAGAATAGGCAACTAGAGTTAGGCTATAAATATTTAAAATATAAACTAGTGACATTTTAAATTTAATTTTATAATAGAAATGGCAATTCAAAATGAATTGTATTAGCTTACAAATTTGAAAACTGTGTTAGCATCAGTTCTTAGTTTCTCCATCCAGAATTCAAAACATAATTTAGTATTGGATCATACAAGTAAATTTTTATACTGAACTAGTAAGCAGAAGTCCTACTTATTATTCATAGACAATGATTTTGTTCTGCTTTAAGGTTTTAATTTCTATTTTTTAATAATGAAATGAAAAAAGTGGCATTGATTAATGCATACAGATGCTTAAAAATGTGAATCTATAACCTGTTTCTCAGCTGTGAAGCCATAATTTACTCATCCTTCACAGTTTTAATAACAGATGTAGGTAACCCTACATCAAATGCTGTTTCAGCTGCATCTTATTCCAACTCACATACTTCAAGCAAGCTGTCAATCACTGCTTCTCTTTCTATTAATTTTCATGAATTGCCCCATTTTTTAAAAAAAATGTGTATTGCAGCTTCAGGCACCAAGTAACTTTGATGTCATGCTGTACTCCATAACATTGTTTAAACACGATATTAAAACTAAGAAAACAATTACATATTTCGACTGGCATTTCAATATGTTATGATTAATTACATTGAATTGAAAGGGGTTCATTAGAAGGTCACATAACGCATTATCCTTTAAAATATATGTATAGTTCAGTTTTCAAGTAGGTGAGTTATTCTCCCCCAGCCTCAGCTGTTATGACCAATAAATCACTCCATCCAACAAATGGGGGTGGTTTTCTAAGTAAGCTTAAATTTAGAGTTCTTTACAAGCTATATTATGCCATCCCACAGAGATTTCACTGTATATTTGTTTGATTTGTTATTCTTGTCAGTGTTTTTAATGCAGGAAAATTACACTGTCTTCTGCATTTAAGAAATAAGATTTTGGAATTTGTGTGTGTGGCATGGCACAGAAAAGCCATATACTGGCATCCTTTTTGACAGATGCCAAATATTTGAATATCACAATTCTGATCTTTCGTATGTACCACGTTAGCAAGAAGCAATGCAGACTGGCTGATGTCAAAGGGAATCCATGAATCATATGTACATCAAGAAATAAGTCATATCAGCATTGTTTTCATATAAAAGTGGGCCATAGAAAAGCATTTGGATGAATTCTGTACACCCAAATTCTGTTATAAAGGGGTGCTCATGTTCTGACTGCAGTCAGCTCATAATACATGGAACGGCTGGTGTTTTTGTGGTTTTAATTTTTTTAATATGGTTCTTATGTTGTTTTAATTCTTTATTAGGGGTATAAGTGATTATATAAATGTTCTAAATAAATAACTACTCTCTGTTTCACCACACAAAGTTTGCCATCCTTTCTTCCTTTAGGAGAATATTCTATGGTAATTAGACAGCTATATATAATAATAGCGTCTTTTGCATGTTCACCCAGAGCTTTTTCTCCCCTGCTAACTATTTACTGTACATCTACAAGTCTTGGAATTTTCTTGTTCTGTCTAACTACC